CCCCCACCCTGACTGCTCCTGCCCTCTGGCCAGGCAGCCAGCCTCCTGGCCAGTTCTGGCACCCTCACGCCCTCCTACATCCCACTTCCCACCCAGATCCTGCATTCCTATTCCTATCTCATTCACTGGTAGCCCTGTCCCACACACTTACCACCTCAGTTTTGGCCCCAACCCAGAGCCTCTGGAGCCCACAAAATCTGACCCAACCCTGGTACCCCAGAAGAGTAAGTCTGGTCTGAGGCCTTGAACCTCAGTCCTCCCTGCCCCTACCCATACTATGGGGCTGGAGCACCAGGGGAGTGAAGTGTTTCAGTTGAGGGTCACATCAGTGAGGGTTGAGGGTTTTTGGAAGGGTTTTTTTGCTTCTCACTTGTGTGGTCTCCATCTGATTTCTGTGGGTCAGTGGCCCTGAGCCCCCAAAAATTCCTGATCCCTGCCATAAAGACAATGTTGTTACCTTTTGTGTTGGATATATTTTAATTCAGTTAAAAATGAAGCTTGGTTAACAAGCCCTCAATTGGGGCCCAGCTTACATCTGGCTGCAGTGTCATAATGCTTCTGCACCCCCTCCCACTAACCTTGAGCCCATCATACACCTGACTGCCCTGCCTTGAACCCTCATACCTCCACATCCTCAGACTCCTGCACCTCAGTCCCTTGCCATAACACACCTGCACCCCCACACACCAACCTTGTGCCCTGAATCCATCATATACCCCAATCTCCTGCCCCGAGCCCCTCATACACTCCAACCCAGACCCCTGCACCCCCACATCACCAGCCTCCTGCCATAAGATTGACAGAAGACAGCCTGAATGCACACATGAAGCTGGATTTGACCAGTTATGATGTAAGCTTTAAAAAACTCTGCAAAAAGATGCAGTAGCAGAAGTCCCATTAAATAAAATCTGTGAGTACAGTTGTTTCATCTGTGCTATTGCTAATCATTATGTCAATTACCAATAATATTAAGTTGTATATTTTCAGTCATGCAAATGGGCATTCTTATATGGCTCTTTGTTGGCCACTTGTTCTGAATTTTGATGTAGTTTGGCTCTGGTTTGAAAAGGTTGCCGACCCCTGTATTAGGAGATCATCAAATGTAATTAACAGGTAATAGGTTTAAAACAAAGGAAAGGAAGTATTTCTTCACACGATACACAGCCTGTGGAACTCTTTGTCAGAAGATGTTGTGAAGGCCAAGACTTTTAACAGGGTTCGGAAAAGATACATTCTTATAGGATAAGTCCATCAGTAGCTATTAGCTAGATGCACTTTTGGTCTGATCTAATAGAGGTGTTAGGGTCTCATCTAACTTAATTCATTAATCATAGAGGATGACAAGGGCTGAAGTTTTTGATTTCTACATGATGACTTCAGAAGTTCCAGAATAATAAAGGATTAACTGGATTCAAGTAAAATAGTGGATATACAAGAACAATGCATTTAAAGGACTGTACGATCAAAGTGATCCCTAAACATTAACCTATGATTTTCATTTCTTATACAGGTGTGAAGTTTTTCTCTTACTCTACGAGCATGTTTAGCTTCTGCATGATACCATACATCTTCAAAGCTGGCATCGGAGTTGAAAGTGTGTTTTTACAAGCTGCCTTTTATGGTGTGATAGGAGTTTTTACATTCATAACACCAGTTATCCTGCATCAGTTTACAAAAGGCTATGTGGTTCGACTGTATCACGAGGATGAGACTGACACATACACAGCCATTACATACAATGCAATTTTGGCAGAAAAAAGAACTGTGTTCCATCAGAGGGATGTCAAGATTCCAGGCATCAGCAAGATGTTTACAACATTTTATGCCAAAACCAAATCAATGCTTGTTAATCCAGTGCTGTTCACGTATCCACAGGACTATTACCATCTCATGGGCTATGACCAACCTTTTCATTTTGACTTGGAGAAAGAAAATGAATCTAGTGAAAGCAAATAGAATTAGATGTTAATGAAGGTGACTGTCTTTTGTATGTGTCCAGTGCATCATTTCAAAAACCACACGTTCTATAAAACATTCATAAGTGTCAGATAATTTAGTTTCTTTAACATCTCAATGTACAGAAAGCCCGAGCTTAATTTCAAACAATTTGAAGCATCTTCTCAGAATTAAAATTTAAAATAGATGTTTGTGTGGTCTCAGTTTTATTAGTCATTACAGCCATGTAGAGAAAACAAATTTTATCTTAGTTTTATGCTACAGGCTCTGCTATATAGTATTTTAAAGGAGCCATTCTTCAAAAACCAGCAATGTTCACTAATCAAATACAGGAATAAGAATGTTGAAGCCCCAGTAAGCATCTGCATCTGAAAAGTGAAGGGACACATTTTTTGGGCTTATCATGGTCAGATGGACAGTTTTTACTCCTTTTATACAATAATTCCTCAGGTGGGAATATTCCCAGTGTGGAGGAGTCCTTGGGAAATAGCTGCTGTTGCTAGCACCTACAACTTTGTTACTACAGCTCTCACTGGAGGGAACAGGAGGATATCTGGAGCACAAAGCACTCTGGCTTATCCCTAGTTGCTGGTAGGTCCCTTGGGTAAAACTGCCAGATTGTGCAAATTAGATGGAGCAACTTGCAAATTACTCTAACTTCTAAAAGATTTCAGGTGTTGAACATTTGACAACAGAATTGACTGCAGAATGTAGTCAAATGGGGTACCATTGCAGGCCAATGAAAGCTCTGAAACAAAGAGATTCTTTAGAGAACAGTGTGGTCTTTTGGACACTCTCTCTTTGGAATTCATAGCACTGCAAAGAAAAAAATTTGATTACAAAGGGGATTAAAGCTCTGAATTTACGTAATGGATCACTTAGATCAATTTTACTCAATGTACAGAGTCTGGATTTCAGTGTTTCATTTTAAGAACAAATGAAGGGTTGGAGATGTAAGCTAATAGGTTTTTGTTGGTGGATAAATATTTAGTTCCACCTAAAAATTAATATGTAATGAAAGGCTTAATATGCTTTGAATTTTAAAAAAGTAAATTGACAAATGATGTAAAGGAATTTCAGATTAATCCTTTTATGCCAGCAATACACTTCATATTAATGGAATCTCATGGGGCACATCTAGACTACAAGCCACTGTTGACGGAGCCATGTAGATTAGGGTTGTAGGCAAAGGGAAATGAAGCGGTGATTTAAATAATCGCTGCTTCATTTAAATTAAAATGGCTGCTGTGCTATGCCGATAAACAGTTTGGCGGCACAGCGCTGTAGTCTGGACGCTCCGCGGTCGACATCAAAGGCATTTGTTGACTTCCCCCGTTATGCCTCGTGGAATGAGGTTTACTGGGGAGGTTTACAAATGCCTTCGATGTCGACCGCAGAGCATCCAGACTACAGCGCTGTGCCGTCAAACAGCTGATTGGCACAGCGCAGCAGCCATTTAATTATTTAAATCGCCTCTTCATTTCCCTTTGCTGAGTAAACAAATTTATATGGCTCTGTTAACGGAGCCATGTAGTGCTAACTTATTAAAGAGGTTACCTTTATAGAGAGAGATAATTAGGATTTTTTTTCTTTTTAGATTTCTCTGAAGCTTCAATTTAGCAAGAGACTTTTCATCAGTCTGGTTTCTTATTTAATATCTCACAACAGAGGGAAAAAGTAGATCACATTCTAAAATATCTTTTTACATATAAGTCTATATATTGATCTAACTCTGGACACATTTGTTGAATAATTTAATATAAGAACAAACCAAGCCATAGAAGGGTTTTGTGGGCATTGTCTTGTTTCTCAGTGGTTATACATCTTAAGGACCTGTTCCAACTCTTAATGAAGAGATTCAGGTAAACAATTAAATGCCAGAGATGGTGCATCCATAAATGATGGTAAAGGAGATAAGAACAAAGACAAGTGATTTAGATCACCTAGTAAGTATAACAATTGCACTGAAATCCACTGTTTAAACTAGCATTAGTGCTGAGTGAAATAGAATATATACATAACTACAGGAAATCTTTTATAGACCCCTGCATTTGCTTGGTCTTACAAAGGAGCTCCTAGTTCCATGTGACTTAGTACTTGCCACAATGGAAATATTTTTTTAAATTAGCTCTGCTATGGTCTGTCTCCTGCTCTCCTTTTCTGATATGTTTACACAGGCTGGAGTAGGCTTGAAATATTTTAAAACAAGAAAAAATGGGAATTTACAAAGGAAGGGAAAAAAATAGGAATTGGATAAAGGGAAGGACTTAGTCTTTAAATATTTTGAATTATAGTTCAAAATGTTCACTGGCCTTTTCATATTTTTGACAATTCAGAATTTTATTGATTAATCTTAAAATAGCCACACTGAGCTGTCCAATCCCATGACAAGGGTTCCCTCGGGCGTGCACCAAGAATTTAATTCCTGCTCACCTCCTCAGCAGCGCTGTGCAGCTGTGGCCCCAGCTGCTCCAAAGGCTGGGACCATGGCTGTGTGGCAAGTGACTACCCACCCCAGTAGCATCCGGGGCAGCTGCCATGCAGCCTGCGTGGTGGCTGTTGGAGCTGGAGCCTGGGTCGTGGTACTAAAAGTAGCACCGTGGCCTGGCTCCAGTTCCAGCACATGGGGCAGCCACCTGCTGTGTGGCCCAGCCCCTGGGAGCAGCTGGAGGTGCAGCTGCATGGAGACTGCTGGGGCCAGGATTGAGGTACTAAAAATAGCACCGTGGCCCTGGCTCCAGACTCAGCAGACAGGGAAGCTGCTCATCATGCTGCCCTGCATGGTAGGTGCAGGTGTCAGGATGGCGGAGGTGAAGGAGCAGGGGGAGAAGTAAAGGGAAGGTGGGTGGGGGTGAAGAGAGGAAGGGGCCAAGGCAGGTGAAGGCACCAAGGGGCAGGTTGGAGGAGAGACAAATGCCAGGGGGCCAAGAGGAGACAATGAGGAAAAGGGCAGGAGCGGGGGAAGGGAGGGAAGGGGTCAGTGGAGGGGAGGAATGGGAATGTGTTAGTGGAGGTGGGAGAAGGTAGGAGACAGGGTGATGCTGGGTGAGGAGAGGGGAGGGGCAAGAGGAATGAAGAGAAATGGGGAGGAGTGAGTGCCCTGTGAAGAGGGGTTGAAAGGAGGGGTGGGCAGGAGGAAGTGGGAGGGGGTCAGAGCAAGTAATGTGTGAGAGCACAGAGGGGCATGAGGAGAACTGGGACAGAGAGTGGTGAGAGGGTGGGCCCCAGGGAGGGAGAGAATAGGGGGAGGGGGCAAGTGTTGGGAGGGCAGGGGCAGTGAGGAAAGGGGGAGGCACCAGGAGGGTGCAGGGGGTAAGGTAAGATGTAGGTGCCAGTGGGATTTTGGTGGTGAAGCAGAAGGGCAGACATGAGGAGAGGAGTGGAGAGGACGGATGGGCACCAGAGAGCAGAGGAGAGTGGCACCCCAGGGAGGGAGAGAATAGGGGGAGGGGGCAAGTGTTGGGAGGGCAGGGGCAGTGAGGAAAGGGGGAGGCACCAGGAGGGTGCAGGGGGTAAGGTAAGATGTAGGTGCCAGTGGGATTTTGGTGGTGAAGCAGAAGGGCAGACATGAGGAGAGGAGTGGAGAGGACGGATGGGCACCAGAGAGCAGAGGAGAGTGGCAGGGCAGATGGGTAGAGGGAGGTGTTAGGAGAGGGGATAGGGAGGGGAGATAAATGGGGGGTGGGCATGGGGGGATGGGCAGGTGCATGGGGTCAGAGAGGATGGGGGAGAGGCAATCCCAGGAGGGCTGAGGGAAATGAGAAGGGCAGGATTTAGGACAGCAGAGGAGGGTGGTGAGGGGGCAGCAGCAGGCACTAGGGGAGCAGATGGAGCAAAGGGAGGGTGGGAGACATGTCAGCAGAGGGGGAAAGGGGGAAAGGGAAAGACATGTCAGCACAGTGGCACACATCCAAACAAGCTCACATGACCTCAATATTGGTGCACAGGACAAAACTCACTGCTCATGAATGGAAAATCTTACAGCGAACACTGCCCGTGATCAGCTCGAATTTTTAAAATAAGATGGAAAAATGAACCTCTCGCTGTCTAATTGCATCAGAGCTATGACACAACCTACTTCTCATGCTTGTTACTTAGTATATATAAACTCATCTACACTAATCAAAATCTTAATAGTAACAAGTGACAAATTACACCATAGTTATAAATATATCATAGTTATGACTAATGATTGATGGTGTAGAAAATGTCTTTGCCTTTCAGCATTATACAACAGCAAATTTACTAGCAAAACAATTAAAAGAGTGCTTTCTAAGAATGCCAGCTCCTGTCACCTTTCTGAGACCAGTGGGTCATTTGTCTCCAGTGGCTGTGGCTCATTCCCTATTCTATGAGATTAGTTCCCACTCAGCTGGAACTAGCAGTGGGGAGCATGGGATGAAGTGATACAGATCCCCTTTCCTGGGGGATGGACCTACCCCTGCCCACTTCTAGTGTCTGGGGATCCCCCAGGACATCACAAAGTGACTTCTGTCATTACCACACTTTTTGAAAAGAGCAATGATTTTGTGGGCACAGAACAATTTTTATGAGGCTGTCCATAAAGCTATTTATCACAGTCTTTCACGTACACTTTCCCAGATTCTGTTGAGTTGACAACCTCAGCCATGCTGATGCAGTGTTTTGGTAGAAGGTTGTTACCGAACAGAATGCCCCAGTAGTGCTTATATTCCTTTCTGGTTCTACACAGGGAAATTTATTCCTCCTTCCTTCTCTAGGGATGGTTTTTTGCTTTATAAGTAAAGATTGATGTGGAAGAGACTGAGGAGGGAAAGTTCTGTCTTACCAGTGCCTTTTAAGAATAAGAATGGCCATGCTGAGTTTGACACTGATCAGCTTAGTATCCTGTCTTCTGATATAACAATGGCGTTCTATTAGTTCTGAAGTTCACAGGTTCCTGGACTTAAATTTTTCTTCATGAAGTGATAACTTGGTTTGTCCACTCTCATTTTAAGAACCAAGTTCTGATCTTGAGTGCTCCATGTGTTCGGTCAGCCAGGAAAGCCACATCCATACATCTGAGACCAGAATTAGATTTTTGCCTACTAGCTTAAAATGTGTCCATCTATGTGTGGGGAGAGTGTGTCAGGTGAAATGTAGTTTCCTTGGGCTCTGTACATTAGCTGATCATCATAGCTGATCATCAATCCTAATACAAAGATCAGTTAAGGCTCTGAGGCAAGGCATAGGTTTCACCTGTACTAATTCACTTTTGGTTGGGTTGTTGAGTCCCTGTCTGAAGTGATATCACTTCACAGCCTCATTCCAGTGGGTGTCTGCAGCCATACATGAAAATTCTGCTGGATGTTTGGTGACAGATGTGGGACCTTGTTGGAAGCCTTATGGAGAGCAGCTTTTGCAGTATTTTCTGAATTAGCATAATCCAAGATGCCCACCATTGTCTGTACAAAGCTCTCAAGGGGAGGACTGAAACTTTCCTGGAATCGGGATGCCCACTTCAGAGCCTCTCTGGTGAGAAGACTAACTCAGGACTGATCTATGGGGTACAACTGTGACTGTAACATAAGCTGAAGATGACACTGGTGGAGGAATCACAAAAATTTGGGCATGATTCATCTCCATCAAATTTAATGAATTTGAGAGCTGTGGAGACAGAAGGCCTCGGTTGGTCTTGTAGGCATTCTAGTCATGTTGTTGCCTGTTAATCATAAATCAAGATCTGGGACATTATAATTATAAGGACATAAGAATCCAAAATGGAGTTTGTGGACTGAGGGACATTTAAAATGGAACCAAAAGGAGCTGAGAGACTTTTGCCACCAAAACTTAGCATCTGCACACAGCACATGGCTGTGCACACTGCACCACAGTGTTGCACACAGTGTGAAGATCTGCACTCGGCACTGATTTGTTTGCACCCAACACCATTTGTGCACTAGAGACGCTGTAGCCGTTTTCCCGCCTTGGGACCTGTGACGGGGTTACGGGTGCAAGCCACTCCCCCCGCAACGCCGCGGG